GAGAAACTCAAATAATCCCTCTTAGATCTATTTCCCAGCTTTAATAATGATTAATATCGCCAATCTTATTTTATGGAGCAGTTTTTTGTGTTTGTTTGTTTGTTTGTTTTCCAAGACAGGGTCTCACTGTGTCACCCAGGCTGGAGTGCAGTGGTGCGATCTCAGCTCATCACAACCTCCACCTCCTGGGTTCAAGTGATTCTCCTACTTCAACTTCCCAAGTAGCTGGGACTACAGGTGCACGCCACCAGCCTCTGCTAATTTTTGTATTTTTAGTGGAGACAGGGTTTTGTCATGTTGGCCTTGAACTCCTGGCCTCAAGCGATCTGCCCACTTTGGCTTCCCAAAGTGCTGGGATTACAAGTGTGAGCCACCATGCCTGTTCAATGTACCAGTTTTGAAAGCACCTTTTTAAAAACTTAAAATTTTAATAGACTTTATTTTTAGAGCAGTTTTAGATTTCACAGCAAAACTGAGTGAAAGGTACAGAAGTTTCCTATTTATTCCCTATTAAAAAACTTTATTTGGAAATTATTTTTATTTTTTATTTTTTTGAGATGGAGTCTCACTCTGTCACCCAGGCTGGAGTGCAGTGGCTCTATCTTGGCTCACTGCAACCTTTGCCTTCTGGGTTCAAGCGATTCTCCTGCCTCAATCTCCCAAGTAGCCAAGACTATAGGCACCTGCCACTACACCTGACTAATTTTTGTAATTTTTAGTAGAGACAGGTTTTCACCATGTTGGCCAGGCTGGTCTCGAACTCCCGACCTCAGGTGATCCACCCACCTCAGCCTCCCAAAGTGCTGGGATTACAGGCGTGAACCACCGTGCCTGGCCTATTTGGAAGTAATTTTAAGCTTACAGAAAATGGCAAGAACAAGTTTTCTTAATTTGAAATAACTTTTTCTTATTAGAGGATATATTTACAGAATATCTGTAGAAGAGAGTTAAGATCATTCATGATTCTACTACCCCAAAATAACCACTGTCATTGTTTTGGTGTCTTTCTTCCCAGTCTTTTTTCTGTGTTCACAGACACAGTTTCCATTTTACCCGGAGACTATCCCAATCCCCGCAAGACGTCCTATCCTGTGTGTCCACGTGCACTGACTTACTCTCAGGGCCTTCACTACCCACAAACCCCCTCAGATGGTTTGCCTTTAGCAACAAAAGTTAATCCAAGATTTTGGTCTGTGGATGCCCTCGTTCCCTGGTTTCAGGGCTACTGCAGGTTTCCCCTGTAATATTCCTTTCATGTTTGTTTTTCTCTGGTGATACTGGCTGATGTCTGGTTGGGGGAGTTGCCTGAGGCTCCTTGGGCTACCATCTTGCCCGGAAGCCTCCAGTGTGCCCCGCACCTCCTGCGCTCATCCCTGAGTAGCTGGGTTTGAGTCTGTCTCTCGCACTCGTCTGTGAACTCTGGGAGGGTAGGGCACAGGTCTGATTCATCTCTCAAAGTGAGGCAGCGTTGGCCTCAGTAAGTATGTATGGAATTGAATCAACCCACCTATTTGGCATTGTCCATTCCTGTCTATGCCACGGACTCTCTGAGCACCTGACACTAATTTACAGCCATGAGCATGGTGTCTGGCACACAGTAGTGCTCAATACATGTGTGTGGATGGTGCGCCCAGCCACCTGGAGATCTCTGTACATGTAAGGGCTCTGCTGTTTTCCCTTTCTCCCTCTGCTGTCTCTCCCACATCTTCTGGATCACTTTGACATGCCAGAGGGAAGGTACCCCCTCTCTGCCGCCGCCCCCCATCTTCTGTATGTTAGCAGCAAAGCTAGGTTGGCAGTTGATTGAAAAGACTCAACTTCCTGTGCTGAGGATATTTGATAGGTTTTAATCGCTCACAATACTAGTTATCATTAGAGACAATTCAAACTATTTCCAGATTATTTCGAAGCTGCCTTTGAGGTATTTAAGTTGGACAGAAGCCCTCCATGTGTTCAGCTCTAAGCCAAGTTTCCTGGTGTCATTAGAAGCCCACTTATAGTTGGAGATTACCCAATCTGTATGTTTTAATTGCCTGAATATTTCACTAATTGCAGGGGTGTTTGTCGAAAGTGGCTTAATGTCCCCAAAGCTGTCTGGACCTGTGTTATAAGTCCCACTCCCAACTTCAGTTAAGTGGAGGGGACCCTGAGGAGGGGATGGGAGGAAGGGAATCTGCATAGGGTCTTGCCTTAAAGCCAGCCCCTCTTGCCGGGCAGGGCCCTGGGCCTCCGTGGCAGGGATGGGGCAGGAAGGGATGAAGGCTTGGTCTAGGGTGGGGGCACCAGCAATTGGGGAAAAAGGCAGGAACCCAATTCAGAGGGCTGGGCCCGGAGGAGGTGGCTGAGAAGGCCTTCAGGACATCTTAGTAATCTTCGTATTTGATTGAAAGATAAAAACAGGAGAGAACCAGTTTTGGCAAAGTGGACTTCTAGGAGTTAGTCAGCAACTTGCTCTCACCAACTCTTGGTTGGTCCTGCCCTTGACCCCAGGCCTGGAGGCTTGCAATGGCATTGGGGCCAGGACCACTGCTCCCCAAACACCTCCAGGACCCCCCACGGCTGAGACTCGCATTAAGCATTTTGCTGCCTCCTGACAGCAAAATGGATTTGGCTGGTGAGCTGTGCTGGGCCACTTCGGTTAGAGGGGTTCTGAACTAGGGGCAAAGCAGGGTAGGAGGGAGACCCAAACGGGAAGGAGAGATTCTGGAACAGTGGCAAGCTGGGGAAGGGCTCTGCAGGCAGGAGAGCTCTGTCCTTCAGCAGCGACACTGGCCTCCTGGGTGAGGCATGTGGCAGGAACACTCATGTTGAGGAGGTTTGGCAGGGACGAAGATGGAGGTCCAGTCAAGGTCAGGCTGTCCTGCCCGTGTGCCCTTGGCCATGACTGACTGTGGATGCTGCGTGGTGCCCGCATGGTCGGAGAAGGCATGTGTGATCTGGGGCTTTAGGTTTGGGGATAAGGAAACTGCAGGTGCCTTGGATTTCTGAATGTACCTTGCTTTGGTCAAAGCCCACCCAGCTTTGATCTGAGTTCCTGACCAGATTTTTGTCCAAAATTCACCTCTTCATGTCTCTTTTCAGTTTGAGGATCTGGTGCCATAAGCCTACTGATGCGGAACGCTGGAAGCAGAATGCGGTTAGGGACGGTGCTCGGAGGAGCTGTGCCACCAACCCCACACATACGCCAACCCTGGGCCGGGGGGCCCAGTTGTGCAGGAGAGGGGCAGGCAAATGGGAGGGCCTTCGTCTTGGCGGCCATGGCCAGAGGTGGGGGGTTGGGGGGTCGGGGGATGGAGGCCTCAGTCCCTGCCCTCACCAGGTGGCAGGGAGCAGGAGGCAGGCTGACCCACTTAGAGACTGGCTCCTTTCAAAGCAGCGTGGTTGTGACGGGGTGCAGTAAGTGGGTCAGCCTGCATATATCCATGGGTCTTAAACTCTTCAACACTTGGCTGTTAAACATCTAGATCCTGCTTTCATTAGCTTGTAAGCTGTGGCCATGGGGACCTGCCTAGTCTTCTGAAGCAGCAAGTGTGTCCAGAGGCTAACAAACAGCAGGTGCCTCAAATAAATAGGATTTTAATACTCGATGTAAATGTGGGTGCAAATAAATACATGAAATGAAAGATGGGATCTGAATTATATGTGCAAGTTACACAATTGCTCAGCTGTTTTGCACCGAGAACTGTAGCGTGATTGTGGGTGCCGTGCGTGTTTCACAGGTGCAGGGGGTGTGTGTGTAGTGTGGAGGAGTGTGTTTTTGTGGACGGACGTGTACGTGGTGTGTAGTAGGGAGCGTGTGTGTCTGCGTGTACGTGCATGTGAATGAAGAGAAGACCCCACCACTGGACTGGGTGGGGACAGAGCCAGCTACTTAATTTGCAGGGTCCCAGTGTGAAAGACAAACATGGACCCTCATTCAAAATTACCAGGAATTTCAGGACAGCAACCGCAGAGCATCACACCAAACTGGGGCCTTTCTGAGCGCAGGGTGGGTCTCACGCCCACGGAGGAGTGCACCTCCTTGTCTCCCTCCAACCTCCCCATGCCACCCCGAAGGCCCCTGGGTCCCCCTTTGCTTTCTTCCCACCGGCTTCCCAGGGTGGCCTTGACCTTGGCAATGTGGGGAAGTGGCCAAGGTGGGCTGGCAGAACGGCTTAGGGCTGTGCTGGTCTTACCCTTTCCCGACCCTCCTCTTCCAGCCTGGGCCTCACTAGGGGCACCCCAGTCCGTAAGGTGTCTCTTGCCCTGGGCTCTTGGCTCAAAAACCGATCTCCCTAGAAGGCAGGGTCTGCTCCCCACTCCACCCTGCGTGGTGGGCCCTGCCCTCCACCCTCAGGACCTGGAAGGCTTTAGGCTCCTCTGCAAGCTGCCACTGTGTTCTGGGAAGTCATCGGGCCGCAGGAACAATCTAAAGCAAGCATGTCTAGCCTGCTTTGAACGCAGCCCAACACGAATTTGTAAACTTTCTTAAAACGTGAGTTTTGGCTGGGCACGGTGGCTCACGCCTGTAATCCCAGCACTTTGGGAGGCTGAGGCGGGCGGATCACAAGGTCAGGAGATTGAGACCATCCTGGCTAACACATGAAACCCTGTCTCTACTCAAAAAAAAAAAAAAAAATTGTGAGTTTGTTTGTTTGTTTGTTTGTTTGTTTAGCTCACCAGCTATCGTTAGTGTTAGTGTATTTTATGTGTGCCCAAGACAATCCTTCTGGTGTCGCCCAGGGAAGCCAAAAGATTGGGCCCTTGGTCTAAAGTGTTTGGGGTGGGCCGGGCGTGGTGGTTCACGCCTGTAATCCCAGCACTTTGGGAGGCCGAGGCAGGCGGATCATGAGGTCAGGAGATCGATCCTGGCTAACATGGTGAAACCTGTCTCTACTAAAAACACGAAAAATTAGCCTGGTGTAATCCCAGCTACTCAGGAGGCTGAAGGAGAATCGCTTGAGCCCAGGAGGCAGAGGTTGAAGTGAGCCAAGATCACACCATTGTACTCCAGCCTGGGCGACAGAGTGAGACTCCGTCTCAAAAAATAAATAAATAAATAAATAAAAATAAAATAAAGCGTTTAGGGTGAACTCACTGCCCACCAAGGGCTTCAGGTCTCAGGAGGCCCGACGGGCCCAGTCTTGGGCTTGTCCTGATTTGCCCAACTGTCCTGAGGGAGACTAAAGCAGGCAAAGGATCCAAGTGAATATCAGAAATGAAACAATTTTAAAAAAACAACAGAAAAGAAACGGCAAAAGGCAACCGGGGAACTGAGAAAGAATTGGGTTGGTGGAGCTCACAGCCCAGAAATCTCAGTGAGGGGGCGTGGAGGGTGGCAAGCCCCACTCCTTCCTGTTTATTGTCCTGCTTTGCTCCTCCAGGGTTAAGTACGGTGTGCCTGCTTCAGGGTACACCCAGGAATCGCTAATGGGTGATAATGAGGGTGTCCCGCCCCAATACCTATACTTGTCAATAATTAACCATGATTTCCTAGGTTCTGGGAGGAGGTAGTGGCACCTGGCTGCCCTGACTGGCTTAGCTCATGGGGCACCTCTGGCATAGCCATTCCAAGGTGTCTGTGTGCTTCCAGGCTATTCTAAGGATGGGTACCTCCCAAGGCATAAGGGAACTTGAGAACTAACCTTTACCCATGTCCCTGATCCTAGCCAGAGACAGACTCCCAGACTCAGCCAGAGGCTGATGCCGACCCCTTCCAGCTCTCACGGTAACCACGAGGCCCCTGCGTGCTTCTGTTGTGGAGGTCCCAGAGGGAGCTGTGTGGACAGACAACCTGAAGGGTCATCTGCCTCAAGCCACAGCGGCACAGAAGTCTAAAGACTGTGGGGAAGGATGGGGCCAAGGTGGGCTTGGGCTCCTTGGTGAGGGGGCCCAAGCAGCTAAGCAGGGGTGGAGGTTACCATAAACTTGTTCATCACCAGCCACAGTGCTTTGCCTGCCCTAGAGAGTCAGTGTGACCAAGACTTCCATGCAGGGGTGTGATGGAACTGGATTCCAGAGGGGGAAAAAGTCTTCATTTAGTATTTGCCAATTTTCATGGTGTAACTACTTCCACCAAGTCTGATTTCAAGCACCAATTGGTTTAACAATTGACCCACCAAATTCCTGAATATTTAACAAGCAGCTCTTTCTCCACTGCCCACCAAGACCCCTGCCCCCAGCGCTTATGCTGTACCTCTCCCAGCCCAGCACTCCACCTCCCTGTCCTTGCAAAATGCCCTTCTCTGGCCGCTGGAAAGCCTGAGACCTGGGGCCATGGAAGCTCCTGTGCTCCAGGGTCCTGGGCGGAGCTGCTCTGCTTCCCAGGTTGTCACGCTGCTCACGGAATGATGTGTGTGAAACGACTTTGCCAAAGTGAACACCAAACCCACTCAAATGAGGTCCCAAGGGACCACCAATTTCTAGTCTAAGCGCAGCGGGGAGACTGGAATTCAATGTCTACCACTATGGTTTGAAAAGCTGGTTCAGGGCATTTAGCAGTCCCAGCTTGTCAGCTGACAGGCCACCCTGCCTCGCTCCTCCCTTGGTCGCATGCTAACCTCCTCACTCATTTCCACTTCCAGGGGACCAGATGTGCGGAGGGAATGGATACCAGGGAATCGGGAAACCACTGGGTCAGCTCTTTGAGTCACAGAACAGCACTCATCCCAGCAGCTGGGAAGCTATCTGCAAAAGCCCATCTGCAGAAGGGGCTTCCTGGCCTTGCGTGTGGCTGGGCCATTTCTCTGGATGCAGGGTTTTCATTATGCAATCTTCTCAAAGAACCACCTGCTCTCAACACCTTCTCAGTGACTCCATTTCCCCCTCCTCTGGGCTCCTGGAATGCCACAATGGCCCCACCTTAGCCAGGCAGCTGTGATGAGAGGTGTTGACCCAGCTGCCTCTCCGCTGGCTCACTGAATCAGGTGGAAGGGGCTGGGGACAGCACAGTCTTGCAGTGCGGTTGGGGACCTGGGCTATCCAGAGGCAGGACTGTCCAGAGGCAGGGTACTGCTGGGATTCTGCCAGGCACTGAGTGATGCATGGCATAGGGAGCTGGAGAGGGACAGGCTCTTGGCCAGGAAAAACAGCCCCAGAGCCACAGGTGTGCCGTCGAGTCTTCCTCCTCTCCGATCCTTAATCATTCCTGTTTGGTGACAGCACACAGCTAGGCCTGGAGCCCAGCAAAGAGCCCCTGGGTCCCAGAGGAAGTTGTTCTGGGGGCTGGAGACAATCACAAATGCCAAGTTTGCGAGCCCCAGACTCTGGTTCATAGCGAGAGGCAGACTTGTGAACGAACCACCAGAGCACACTGTAAAACACGCTCAACCAGGAGTGGGTGCCCTTGCTAGGGACAGGCAGAAGGCTCCGTGGAGCAACATTTGAATGCGGACATAAAAGTGGATCCCTTCAACAGCCCCTGCACAGCCCCAAGTCAGGCCTCCAGCCCTTGGACTCACAGATCGCCCCTGTAGACGCCTGGAGGTCCTCCGGTGCTACCCTTTACCCCTGCAGTGGAGGGGCACACAGCCAGAGCCCTCCAGGTCCTCACCACTGGCATCGCCAACATGGTGGAAGGTTTTCCTCTCAAAATGAAAAGGGACTAAATTTCCCCATGATCTTTCCACAAATGACCATGTTGGGAAGTGGGAAAGGAAGGGCTGCAGGGCCTGGGGCAGGGACCCTTGGAACAGTTCTTGGAAATGGAGGGGTAAATAGAGTGGAGACAACGCTCATGGAGTCCAGTATGAGCCTACCCAGAGTTGCTCGGCCACCTCTGCCTCTGAATCAGGGGTGATCAATGAAGGAAAATTACTGCAGCAATTGAGTCCATGTAAGATGATTGTGCACGTGTGTGTGTGTGTGCGCGTCCCCTCACTCAAAAAAGACCATTTCTGTGCGTTCTTGATTCTGGGATCCTCCTCTACCTCCCTCTGTAGGAAATCCCATAGGATCCCATACCTGCTTTAGAATGTGTGTGAGACACTTCCCAGTGCCTGGCACGTGGTAGGAGCTCTGTACATGTAAACTCTTTTCCTTTGACCACTCAAAGTAGTCACTTGTGGGGGAGGCCAACAGGGGCTTCCCCGGTCTCAGAGCTGATGGGCATCCGGTCCCTGCCTCCGTCTTCCTTCTCTGGCTGATGACAAATACCTGAATGTCATCACATCCTCCATGTGCTCATCTGTTATTCTGGAACACAGGCTGGGGAGGGTACAGGGTAGCCCCCTTCAACAGAGGCCAGCCTTTCTTGGGATGTGGGCTGGCTGGTGTTGGTCCAAGGATGGATGCGGAGGGTGAGGCACCCATCCTGCTAGTCGGGCTGGATGCTGGCAGGAGGGCGGAGCGAGGAGGGGCGGAGCTTCCAGAACAAAGAAGAATGGGGAGCCCGGGGGCCAGCCTAGGAATCAAAAAGGCTCTGCAGAGTGAGCAGGCCACAGCACTCCCTGCCTCTGCCCCAGCAGTCAGTCTGCCAACGGCACCTGCTCCCTCCTGCTTGCCCAAGGCTGGGCAAGTCATCCCCGCTCTGCTTCCAGAGGCCCCGTTTTCCAGCGTGATTGCGCCGCCACTGCTCTGTGGGTTTCTCTTCTTGGCGTGGGTTGCTGCTGAATTTCCAGGGGAGAGCAGCAGGATGGCCGGGAGCAGCGCCAGGAGTGAGGAAGGCCGCCGGCAGCATGCCTTTGTCCCGGAGCCTTTTGATGGGGCCAATGTCGTCCCAAACCTCTGGCTGCACCGCTTTGAAGTCATCAACGACCTCAACCATTGGGACCATATCACCAAGCTAAGGTTCCTGAAAGAGTCCCTCAGAGGAGAGGCCCTGGATATCTACAATGGGCTCAGTCCCCAGGACCAGGGAGACTACGGGACTGTGAAAGAGACCCTCCTGAAGGCCTTTGGGGTCCCTGGAGCTGCCCCCAGCCACCTGCCCAAAGAGATCGTCTTTGCCAACAGCATGGGTAAGGGCTACTATCTCAAGGGGAAGATTGGTAAAGTGCCCGTGAGGTTCCTGGTGGACTCTGGGGCCCAGGTCTCTGTGGTCCACCCAAACTTGTGGGAGGAGGTCACCGATGGCGATCTGGACACTCTGCAGCCCTTTGAGAACGTGGTAAAGGTGGCCAATGGTGCTGAAATGAAGATCCTGGGTGTCTGGGATACAGCAGTGTCCCTAGGCAAGCTGAAGCTGAAGGCACAGTTCCTAGTGGCCAATGCAAGTGCCGAGGAAGCCATCATCGGCACTGATGTGCTCCAGGACCACAACGCTGTCCTGGACTTTGAGCACCGCACATGCACCCTGAAAGGGAAGAAGTTCCGCCTTCTGCCTGTGGGAGGGTCCCTGGAAGATGAGTTTGACCTGGAGCTCATAGAGGAGGACCCCTCCTCAGAAGAAGGGCGGCAGGAGTTCTCCCACTGAGAAGCCCCCTTTTCTCTAACCTCCTAAATATTGGTGGGAAGGCCCACCACTGTGGTGGGCGGGGGGCGCATATCCTCAGGGGGATCACTGGGCTTGGCCAATCCGCGTATCAACTCTTGCTCTTCCCTCCTCTCTTCCTCCCTCTGCAGGGGCCTTAATTTGCCCTTGGCTGGGGAGGCTTCCACTGAACAGGCACAGGTGAGGGAGATCAGGCTGTCTTAGAGGGACAGGGTCCTCATGGTCATCAAGCTGCTATTGATGACAAAGACTCGAAGGCTGGAAGAGCTCCCAAGGAAGCTAGAAATGCTTGTCTTTGAAAGAACTGTGGGACCCCTTCAGATCCCCTGAGGTATGGCTTGGTCACTCTCAGGTTCTCAGAGCCTGTCTCAGCTGGGCTGGGTCCTAGCTGCAGGGTCTTTGTGAGGGTCACAGTTGCTCTGAGACACTGCCTGAAGAGCCTTTCCACCTGTACAATGGTATTTTCTGTCTATCATTTGCTTTGAAGCCCATTGTGCCTTGTGCCAATAATTCAATTGCTGCAAACACCAATAAAGATTGATTCATGGAAAAACCATGTAATGTGTTGATTGAGGGTGAGAGGAATGTGAGAGGGAGTCAACATCAAAGACAAGGGAGATTCACGTGTCTAATGAGTGCCTAGCTGGAGGTATAAGAACATATACACAGTGACAACATGTCTTGGATTTTCTAAGACAGTCTCAGCATAAAATATTTTGACTTATTCCCTCCAGAATTACTCGCGTTATTTTGAATCATCATAATTCCTCTACTTATTTCAATCTGTAGTATTTTACCATACACATTGCCCCTATACCCAAAAGCGACCCTCAAGTCTTATGTGAGATGTCTTGATTGGGGATTGGGAAATTATGATTATGATAAACAAACAGGAAAGTGTCTGCTGGGCAAATAGGTTCTTACAGCTGTCCAGGAGAGAGAACTTGGAGGCAGAAAGCAGGGCCAGGAGACAAGTGTTAACCTGCGTGGGACAGCCCAAGGGTGTGCTGGAGGACGGGGGAGGCAGCGGCAATGCAGGGTCCTGGCGGTGGGAGGTCAGCCTCTTCCTGGAGGAACTTGCAACAGAGCCTGAAACTAGAGCGACCTGATGGAGAGGAGGACGTTCCCAGATCTGGAAATGGGGTGTGCATCTCTTTTAGGGATCCACCTCGTATTTGCTTCCAAATTTCTGTATTTTTCTGGAATGCAGCAGGGCTGGGAATCTGAAACCCCAAGGGAGAAGCTGAGTGGACAGAAGTCTCCACAGAGGAGCCAATTTGTTCCAAATCTCAGGCCTCCCCACCAAGCACATGGGGCGAGCCCGTTCTCAGGGGAGATGACCTGCACCCTCCAAACTTTGGGCCCAGGAAGATTGGCGCAAGGTCAGAGACACGAGCATGCAGGGATCCCGGACCTCTTGATGGAGGCGTGAAGGACCATTTTCCGTCCTCCAGGGTGGAATGAGCCTCTCGAAGTTCCCACCTGGACAGCTCCTGAGGGAGGACAGAAGGCAGGAGTGAAGCCTCTGGACTTTTTGAAGCTGATCTGAGCCAGGATCAGCTGCCCCTCCCTGGCCCCTTCTTCCCTCCGATTCCAGCTGTGATCCTCCTGGGAACTGAGGCATGACTCAGCCCCTAATCCCCGGGGTTTACCCAGGCCCCTTCCTTGGGCAGCCAAGCATCTTAACTGAAATTAGCTCCATCAGCCCCAGGGCATGTGGAGGGAAGGACAGGTGTGGGATCAGGAGGAAATCTCTTTCCAGAAAAGTGATGCCTAGACAAGTATGTGGGAGAACTGGAGAAGAGGGTGGGAGAACTGGAGAAGGTGATAGGGGAACTGGAGAAGGGGGGAGAACTGGAGAAGGGGGGGAGAACTGGAGAAGAGGGGGAAAGAACTGGAGAAGGTGATGGGGGAACTGGAGAAGGTGATGGGGGAACTGGAGAAGAGGGGGTGAGAGCTGGATAAGGTGATGGGGGAACTGGAGAAGGGGTGGCCTCCGGATGCCTCCCAGGTCCTGCATCCCCCTTCTCAAATGTGATTTTCAGCCCTGGTCTCTGTGGCCTAACACATGCTGCTCTCTCATGGGCCGAGCCCTCTCCTGAGGGAACAATCCAGGTGGCACCTCCCTGTGACCTATTTTCCTCCAGGTCCTTTGGATCCCAGCCACGTTCTGGGTAGAAGGATGGAAGGAGGGAGGGTAAAGGGTCTGTAAGCAGGTGGGTGGGGAGCTGGGGAGGGGACTAAGGAATTGGTGGCCAGGCCAGAATTCCAGAGCAATACCCCAGCCTCCCTGCCCTTCCCCACACACCACAGGGAGCGGAGCCCTGTCCTGGGTGGTTGCGAATGGGATGCTGTGTCCCAGCAGCAGACACCTTCTTCCCCTGCTCTGAGTGAGGAGAGCCTGTCTGAGCCCCCAGGTCCCAGCTCTCAGCCAGTTTTCTCTCCTAGAGAAATGTGGGCCCCCTGAGAGGGCACAGTGAGGGGCGGGGTTTGTGACATCCGAAGCACTGCCCCCATGGAGGAAGGGACCATGTGGTGCTTCTTACTGGGAGACCTGAGTGAGCCTGAGACCGCTGCTGCATGGGTGTGAGAGTGATCACAGCTGCCGATGCGTCAATGTGGAACCCGGCTGCAGGACTGTGAGCAGCTGCTCTCTGGGAAGCCAGGTATCAAACAACAGAGAAGCCCGGGAGAGAAGCCAGAAAAAGTGGGTAGTGGCCACACTACAGAGGGCTTGCTGCCTGGGTGAGGAGTTCACACCTGCCTCCCACAGTGAACCATGCGGGAGCAGGAAGATTCATCTGGCTTCTGGGTATAGGAAAGAGTAAAGCAGCAGCAAAGGCTCCGCTTGGACACCATGGCAGCCCTTAGACTTAGGGTCTGCATTTGCGATGATGGAAAGGAGGATGCAGGATCGATGTGAAGGTTTAGCCTTGGGAGCACATAATAATCACCAGAGAAGACCAATGAACATCAATTCCTCCAATGGTCCCAAAGTACAGCAGGCTTGGGAACCGGTGGTCAAAATTCCAGTGGCTTCTACCCCTGTGCCACCCAAAGGGTGATCCATGAACCAGCAGGAAGGCGACCTCAGCATCACCTGGGAGCCCATTGAGAATACAGACTCTCCATCCCACCCAGACCTGCGCCAGAATCTGCAGTGACCAAGATCCCCGAGTAATTCTAGGGGATATAAGAGTTTGAAAAGCCCTGGCCTAGAACATTCTAAAACCTTTAGTTAAGGGGCTCCTACAAGCTGCCTTCTTCTCTAATAATGACCACCACAAACTGAATGCATGCCAGTTCCCCAGACCACACTAGATAATTCTTTATGCTTTATCCAGCAAACCTTCAAGTCTTAATTTCAGACTAACAGGAAAGTTGCAAGAGCAGTACAAAGAATTTCCATATGTTTCACCCAGTTTCCCCAAATATTGATATTTTACCAATTAACTTCATCATCTCTCTCATTCTCATTCTTTTTCTCTGTATCTATATGTATAGGAACCTTTGAAAATTGCAAATATGATGCTCTTTTATCTCTAAATACTTCAATGTATATTTCTTAGGGGAAAACAACAACAAGGGCATTCTCTTTTTTTTATTATTATACTTTAAGTTCCAGGGCACATGTGCACAATGTGCAGGTTTGTTACATATGTATACATGTGCCATGTTGGTGTGCTGCACCCATTAACTCATCATTTACATTAGGTATATCTCCTAATGCCATCCCTCCCCCCTCCCCCCTCCCCACAATAGGACCTGGTGTGTGATGCTCCCCTTTCTGCGTCCAAGTGATCTCATTGTTCAATTCCCACCTATGAGAGAGAACATGCAGTATTTGGTTTTCTGTTCTTGCAATAGTTTGCTGAGAATGATGGTTTCCAGCTGCATCCATGTCCCTACAAAGGACATGAATTCATCCTTTTTTATGGCTGCATAGTATTCCATGGTATATATGTGCCACATTTTCTTAATCCAGTCTGTCATTGATGGACATTTGGGTTGATTCCAAGTCTTTGCTATTGTGAATAGTCCTGCAGTAAACATACGTGTGCATGTGTCTTTATAGCAGCATGACTTATAATCCTTTGGGTATATACCCAGTAATGGGATGACTGGGTCAAATGGTATTTCTATTTCTAGATCCTTGAGGAATCGCCACACTGTTTTCCACAATGGTTGAAGTAGTTTACAGTCCCACCAACAGTGTAAAAGTGTTCCTATTTCTCCACATCCTCTCCAGCACCTGTTGTTTCCTGATTTTTTAATGATTGCCATTCTAACTGGTGTGAGATGGTATCTCATTGTGGTTTTGATTTGCATTTCTCTGATGGCAAGTGGTGATGAGCATTTTTTCATGTGTCTGTTGGCTATATGAATGTCTTCCTTTGAGAAGTGTCTGTTCATATCCTTTGCCCACTTTTTGATGGGGTTGTTTGTTTTTTTCTTGTAAATTTGATTGAGTTCTTTATAGGTTCTGGATATTAGCCCTTTGTCAGATGAGCAGATTGCAAACATTTTCTGCCATTCTGTAGGTTGCCTGTTCACTCTGATGGTAGTTTCTTTTGCTGTGCAGAAGCTCTTTAGTTTAATTAGATCCCATTTGTCAATTTTGGCTTTTGTTGCCATTGCTTTTGGTGTTTTAGACATGAAATCCTTGCCCATGCCTATGTCCTGAATGGTATTGCCTAGGTTTTCTTCTAGGGTTTTTATGGTTTTAGGTCTAACATTTAAGTCTCTAATCCATCTTGAATTAATTTTCGAATAAGGAGTAAGGAAAGGATCCAGTTTTAGCTTTCCACTTATGGCTAGCCAATTTTCCCAGCACCATTTATTAAATAGGGAATCCTTTCCCTATTTCTTGTTTTTGTCAGGTTTGTCAAGGATCAGATGGCTGTAGATGTGTGGTATTATTTCTGAGGGCTCTGTTCTGTTCCATTGGTCTATATCTCTGTTTTGGTACCAGTACCATGCTGTTTTGGTTACTGTAGCCTTGTAGTATAGTTTGAAGTCAGGTAGTGTGATGCCTCCAGCTTTGTTCTTTTGGCTTAGGATTGTCTTGGCAATGCGGGGTCTTTTTTGGTTCCATATGAACTTTAAAGCAGTTTTTTCCAATTCTGTGAAGAAAGTCATTGGTAGCTTAATGGGGATGGCATTGAATCTATAAATTACCTTGGGCAGTATGGCCATTTTCACAATATTGATTCTTCCTATCCATGAGCATGGTATGTTTTTCCATTTGTTTGTGTCCTCTTTTATTTCACTGAGCAGTGGTTTGTAGTTCTCCTTGAAGAGGTCCTTTACATCCCTTGTAAGTTGGATTCCTAGGTATTTTATTCTCTTTGAAGCTATTGTGAATGGGAGTTCATTCATGATTTGGCTCTTTGTTTGTTACTGGTGTATAAGAATGCTTGTGATTTTCACACATTGATTTTGTATCCTGAGACTTTGCTGAAGTTGCTTGTCAGCTTAAGGAGATTTTGGGCTGAGACAATGGGGTTTTCTAAATATACAATCATGTCATCTGCAAACGGGGACAATTTGACTTCT